CAAAAGCATAAGCTGCCTGTAGCAGGTTGCTGTCTCCAACAGTGTCCTGTACAGTGCTGCACTTTCTGACAATGTTAAGTGAGGAATAATCTATGCTCACTCCCTCTTAATTGCCTTCGTATTTCTAGGCAAGTCCAGAAAATCTGGGGTGATCCCTCCATTCTCTGCTTTAAATACCCCTGTCATTCTGCTGTGATCTCACTTTTTGGTTTGACTCCACACTTCATGCTGTGTGCTAGTGACTTTGCAGCTTCTCAGCCCACTGTCAGTGGGGGAAACATTCTCTTGTAATATAGTATTCTGTAATTGAACATATTGCACTGTAAGTTAGTCCAGCTAGCTATCAATGACAATCAAATAAACATGGTTTAAAAAATCTTGTAAGGAAAGCATAGCTCTTGCCAAGCACAATTTTGAAAAAAGCAAATGTTTTCCCCAAAAGTCATGAACACATTCATTTGACCAAAATAACAAAACCTTACATGTTTTACCTACCTGTGATATAACATGTTTCTCTCCAATTATTTTTCTGTTACAAATGATTATTTTTTTTTTAGGGAAGGGAATCTTCTCCCATAACAGAAATATTCTGGCCAACACAAAACAAAATTTTTGTCCATAGTTTTGTTCAGCCACCAAATTTGCACTCAAGCTCTGCCTTAGACTCTGCACAGCAATGATCCCACGGCAGGTTTCTATCCCTGTGGTGTCTTGGGGGAGTACATTGCATATGCCAGTAGACTTTACTTTTACATCCTTCTTTTCAGTCATTAATAAGTGTCTAAAACTCCTTTTCATGCTCAAGCTTTAGGAACACAGGAACTGCTATTTCAGACCAAACCAGTGGTCCACCTAGGCTAAAGAAGGGACAGCAGGAAGAAAGAACAGCCCCTCTGACCAGCACCACGTGCTCTTTGGTGAGAAGTGGAATTCAAGGAAGGAAGCTGTGAGCGGGCACCTCAATATACATATTCTCTAGAGACAGAGATACGTAACTTTAAAATCTCTCGGCATTTTCTGTGGCTGTGTTGTATTAGAGAACTGAGTTTCTTGCAAATGCAAAGAAAAGAGTGCCTTTGGAAAAAAAAGAAGTGTGGAAACAGGCTGGAGAAAAATTCCAAGCTTTGCTAAGTTGGTTCTGAAGGGAGGTTGTAGCGAGGTGAGTGTTGGTCTATTTTCCCAAGTAACAAGTGATAGGACAAGAGGAAATGGCCTCAAGTTGTGCCAGGGGAGGTTTAGATTGGGTATTAGGAAAAATTTCTTCTCTGAAGGAATTGTCAAGCATTGGAACAGGCTGCCCAGGGAAGTGGTTAAGTCACCATCCCTGGAGGTATTTAAAAAAGGTGTAGATGTGATGCTTAGGGACATGGTTTAGTGGTGGACTTGGCAGTGTTATGTTAACAGTTGGGCTTGGTGATCTTAAGGGTCTTTTCTGACCTAAATGATTCTATGATTCTACAGCTCAGGTTCAGGGTTGGACCTGCTGCCACCTCCACTCTTTAGCGTCTGTCATTTATATGTGTCATTTGCTCACTAACGAAAAAAGTGGTAATGTCTTAGGAGAGAATACTCTGAAGTACCCCACATCTGGGAAGAAATTACTGTACTGATTTCAAAACCACACTGTTAAGGTCTTTAACTAAAGACTTTCTTTGAGGCAGCCCCTTGTATGCCACATACAAAGGGCTTCATCATATGTGAAGATTGGATGTCCTGACTCCTTAGAACTACTCAGAGGCTTTTGCTTCTGGAAGTCTTGCTTAGAGTTATTATTTTACAGCAAAAGCATAAAAGGAATATAACCACACACTCAAATAAGGAAAAAGAAGCACTGTTGCAGAGCTTATTACAGCATTACAGTAATGCCAAACTGAACTGTTCAGCCCTAGTTCTTTCTAGCTTTACCCAGTCTCTAGAAAATCCTGTCAAGCCAGGATGCATCATGCTTCAGGGACATACTACTAGTTCTGGTTCACAGGAAGGTGAAAATCAACTGGAACATCAAGTCCAAATGAAAACTTCTGTTCTGGTCTCACAATGGTTAACAGGCTACTTCCTGCACAAAAGCAAGCCTTAAAAAGTAAAATGCATATGTTGTGTAATTCAATAAAAAAAAAAAAATCCAGCATTTGGCACCATCAATTTTGGGGCACTGAGCTGCATGTTAACTACGCCATATAAAACCAACATTTTTAATCTGGGTGTTCTTTCAGCTTCTTTGAATGTCCATGTCTTCTTTTATTACAAAAATGAGTGAAAAGGAAGCCAAGTACATATTCCCTTTCATATGTATGCTTTTGGGTACCATTACCATTTGGTACCTTCATTGAACAGTTGCGGTATTTCATATCAGGGGAGCACTGAAAGTTAGTACAAAAAAGCTGGAACAAACAAAGTGTAAATCTGCATTTTTATTATGCATGTTGTCTCCTTTGATAAATGAAATTGCTTTTTGCATCCAAACTCTCTATCTGACTTGCACTCTCTGTACATTGAGTCTTGTACACAGAATGAAAGCAGTGTAAGATATGTCCCATGTTTGGTTCGGTTTCTCACATAAATAAGGCTTAATCAAGTCCACACTCTCCCTCCCATTACCTAGGTGGAGAAAGACACAAAAGAAGCCCTCCAATTATTTCTCTGCCACATGGTACCTGCAGATGTAGGGAACGTGCTTATTTCCTTCTGCTTCTGTCACTGACAAACCTGAGCCTGCTTTTCAAAGGGGCACATGACTGGCTCTGAGAGTCACCAAAGCAGCCGGGCCAGCTTGGATGGGTTTCAGTCCAAACAGTGCAGGCTATCACAGGGGCAAGTGCTAATCAGCAGTCCAAGCTCTGGAATGACCCCAGGCATGCACAGCATGTCAGGAACCCCATAGCATGGGGGGAACAAATCCCCTGCTTGCACCCCTAAATCCTGCAGTCCTCTCAGTGACAGGATTGGGATAAACAGGGTGATTCACACCTTTCGAAGGCACTATCTATCTCTGCCACTTTGTATATTGAAGTGTTGGTTTGTTCAGTTCAGGTTTTCACAGCTATCATCACACCCATGAAGTGGTGTAAATGACAGCTTACTTGTAGGGCCCCTAGGGGAGTGAACTGTATTAGAGTCAAGATGCAGATTCTGCTGTAGTTTTTCTTTTAAACATTTCCCACAATTTGTACTCTATGTTCTGTAATCAAACCAACACTGCTTCAATAATTTTTTTCTTCTCTGGATTTAAATTTCCACTTGTCAAACTACCTAAATGAAGCTCCTGGCACCTTTTTTTTTTTTTTTAATCCAAAGTAGCTCCATGTATGGAAATTAGCACTTAAAGCCTTTTTAGAGACAGTGTATACAGTTAATGTATGAGAATGTATCACACTAGCTTTTTATTATTGTTATTCTGTAGAGTACTGTGATATCCTGAGGTCTGTAACACATTCAAGAACTTAGAGTTAAGTCAAGTCATACTCTAATTGTGTCTGCTATGGTCCTAACTGCCACTAACTGCCTCAGAAATGGGCTAATGAAAAGAACACTGTCTTTCATCATGAAATTTCTACCTGTAATAATTACCGATCTGTCCCTGCCTGTCACCTTGTGTTCTGGCAATTGTTGGATATGGATGTTGTGTTCACGCACTGGAGAGAAAACTATACGGGGAAGGAAAAGCCTCTGGGTCAGGCAAGAGAGCACAGGCAGCCCTGGAGTTTGCACAGAGGGCCAGAGCCAGGACAAGGGAAAAAGTTCAGGACCATGTGGCCAGGAGTGGGGAGGAAGGACTGAACCACCAGATGAGCTCCAGTGATCATGAAATGGCCAGTTTCATCTCAGACTGGTGTACAAAAAGCTCAACAACTTCCAGTGGCTGCAGAACTAGTTGAATTCACACATGCAGTCCGAAATCAAGAAGTACTTTCACCTGCTGTCAATTCCCTGAGCCATCATGTTCTTCCATCTTCCTGATACAAGGCAGAGTGAGTACTGCTTTCCTCCAAAGAAATTATGCTCATTTATAAGTAATTAAAATCTAGTGAATGCTCTTTTCAGGTTTATAATTGGACACTTTGTGCTCTCCAAATTACCGACATTTCTGTCACTCAAAGAAATTAAACACTTTGAAATACATTAATGAAAAACAGCAATGTATCATTTAGAGCACTGAAAAATAGGGAAATTAACAAAATAATGTTTAAGCATCCATATACATATAGTACAAATCCAGTATTTTGTGTTACGGTGTATCTTTCTGACTTTTCCACTGAAAACCTATTTGCTTAGGCCTCTTCAGTCTTGTGATCTGGTAGACTTCTGGTTCAATGAACTAAGTGGAAATCTATAATACCATACACTACATAAATAATTGGAAAGATTGCTGAAAATAATTTAGGGAATGCCTAAACGTGAAAATTAAACCACTTCCAAGCAATCTGCTTTCACATCACTGGAATATCCAAAAACATGGAAACAGCAAAGGTCAAGGGGTTTGTAAAATAAATCCTGACTATAATTCAAGATCTCAAACCAGTGAATTAAAAATTCTTTCATTATCTCTTGGTCTTAATAAAATGCCAAGGAAAAAAAAAGTAAATTTCCTGCAGAAATATTTAGTATTGAGAGAATATTGACAGAATATGACTCTCCTACCACAAGTAAACAGAAGCATGAATCTCAGGGGCCCCATTCTGTACAGTATAGCTGGGCTCCTCTGAAGTTTAGTGTCCCAGCCAGTATGACTTTCCTTGCTTGGGCCATTGGTGGAGATCAAGAGGGGATTGGAGGAAGTCCCTGAAATGGAGATGGATGGAAAGCCTCCTTGCCCAGGCTGTGACAATAGAGTTCCCTTCACCCCCCCTTCCCCTGGTAAATCCTTATCCAGAGCAATTGTTACACGGTGGCTGCCACCAGCGACTTTCAGCGCACCAACAATTCAGTTTCCCCCCATCCTGGCAGCTCTGAAGGCAGTCCTGCCACAGGCTCAGGGTGAGAAAAGCAGGGGCTGGTCTTACCTCTCTGAGTCCGCAGCTGAGAGAACAGATAACTGGGGGTGAGGATGGAGAGGACTACCCTGAACGTTACATCCTGGGGACGGGTGGCTGCTGGGCTGGGACGAGGACACTGCCCCAGCTGCTGTTGCACTTCGACTTGTCCGTGTGCTGGGGAACATGGTGGCTGAAAGCAAAAGGAGAGAAATAATCCTCATCAGGCAGGCAATCGCATTGATAAATGACCAAATACTAATGGGTAACACCTCCCCTAAAGCTGTAGTGCCAATTCTTAGCAACTAACTTGTTTTTCTCAAGTGTTGTTTTCTGTCTGAAGAGAAGAAAAAAACCCCACATAAAAATAACCTTTGCTGCTCCCAAATGACACTTTCATAAAACTAGGAATGACATAGCTGTACTCCTTGTCTTGGGAATTTTGTCTGAATAAGGCTACAAATCATCTATAGCTTCCTGTTGTGGAAGAGGTGTCAAATACTTCCTAAGATACATATTTTTAGAGCTAGTGAAGAGAAAGCACAGTTTTGTAAATAGTGAAAGACTTTCTACATTTTCCCCTCAGCTGTAAAAATCCCAAATTTCTTGAGGAGGTCAACCCAAACTCAAATATTGCTATTATTGCCCCCAGACTCCCCAGTAATCCATACAAAAATTTTAAACTAGCATTAACAGTTTCATAATTTTCTATGAGGTTGCTCTTGTATACATTGCAAATAAGGAAAGGTTCTGGATGATTAAACAAAAAAGCAATACAGGACTCCCTCCAAATGTCCTAATTAGTTGACCCCAAATGCTGTAACCTTGTTTTCAGAAGTTCTTTAAATCAGGCAGTCAGAAGGTAAGACACTGATTACCAAATCCCTCTGAAAATCTAGTTACTCAATTATTTTTACTGACATATGTGTCAGTGTTGTGGTTTACCCCCAGCCAGCAACTAAGCACCACGCAGCTGCTCACTCACTCCCCCCCATCCAGTGGGATGGGGGAGAAAATCAGGAAAAGAAGTAAAACTCCTAGGCTGAGATAAGAACGATTTACTAGAACAGAAAAGAAGAAACTAATAATGATAATGAGAACACTAATAAAATGACAACAGTAGTAATAAAAGGATTGAAATGTACAAATGATGCGCAGGGCAATTGCTCACCACCCGCCGACCAACACCCACCCAGTCCCTGAGTGGTGAATCCCTGCCCCCCACTTCCCAGTTCCTAAACTAGATGGGATGTCACATGGTATGGAATACACTGTTGGCCAGTTTGGGTCAGGTGCCCTGGCTGGGCATGAGAAGCTGAAAAATCCTTGACTATAGTCTAAACACTACTGAGCAACAACTGAAAACATCAATGTTATCAACATTCTTCTCATACTGAACTCAAAACATAGCACTGTACCAGCTGCTAGGAAGACAGTTAACTCTATCCCAGCTGAAACCAGGACAGTCAGGTAGCTTATGTCAATGTTGAATGGCAGCCAAATACATGCTCTTAAATATTTTATGAACCCTGAGAATGAATTAGATAGATAGGCTGTCTACAACATGAAACTGATCTCTGACTGTTTGGTTGTCATATCTTCCAGTCTCTTTATATAAAAGTATCGTTCAGACCTAGTTTACAGAATAAAAATTTACCCATAAAACTAATGTTAGTGAATATGTTGGAGCTAGTGATTCAAATTTATTGATATAATCCTAGAATTTAAACCAGTTACCCAAGGGGCATTGTCACGGGTAGAAGATCTTTCTAGTCTAAAATACCTGCATGGATGCTGCAGTTCTAGCAGAACAAACACTACTTTAGGAGTAACCCCACCATAGATCAGTCTTCAAGAAAATTATTTCACAGGTCACAATTTTGAATGTTGCTACCCAAGATCAAAAGGGTGAGAAGTCCACCTCATCTCCCAAGTCCTCTGAAAAGTCTCTATTCATCCTCACAAGCCAGCCTTTGTGACACACTAGATATTCACCAGAGGCAGAGTTAAGGAAAGGCTTAGGAGTTTAATTATTCTGTAGCCTCATTAAAGAGCAGTCTTGGACATCTTTCAGGGGGTGGAGATGACAGACAGTGCAAGGTGACAGATAAGGAAATCACTTTGTGAATAAAAACATCTAATATAGATGCTGCAGAGGTAATGTCAAAGTTTAGGGAAAGTTGGCATGAGCTACACTGGTGGGCGAAGCTGGAGCAGTGGAGGCTGCTCTACCACATGGCCATGAGGACCAACAAAAATGCCTGCGGCTGGCCTCAGCACTAGCCTCTACTGTTTGCTAATTCTTGTATGGACCAGAGCCTCCTAATCACAACCCAAGTGACAACAGACATCTGATAGTAGAAGGCATCCCAAGCCTTAAGAGAGGTACAGAGGATGCATATCCCACAGGGAGATGAGAAATCACTTAAGCCAGCAGAGTAACTCACTAAGAAAGGGCCAAGGAAGAACCCCCGCTAACACAGGGGAAGGTAGCTTCTCTTGTACTTTCACTTTGCTCACGCACCCCAAAACCCACTCTCTCCACAACCATCTCTCAGACTAGCATCAAGACAAACGCAGAGGGGAAAACAAAGGCATGACCTTTTGAATTTATTATTTCATGCTTACACGCAGCGTGGAAGAAAATACTGAAAAACAACCAAATGCACATGCTGGCAGAATAAGCAGAGAGAATATTTAACAAATCAGTACATTGCAAAGGAAAACCCTGATTATCTAAATAATAACAGAGAGTATTTAAATTATTCATTGCAAAAATAGGGTAACTTGCAGCATTTTTCCATGAGAAAAGCAATAAAATATCTAAGAACATACAATGACTTTGTTTCCCAGTACTGTGATCTTTGAGTTTAAAACAAATTTCTTCAAGGCTGTGGTTGATCAGGAGTAAAAAGGCTGGACTATGGCTGGATTCCCACCATAAGATAGCAAGAGTTGTTCTGCCCTGTCATAGCTCTTCTCTGCCACAACCATGGTAAGGATTTTAGGCAAGTATTTTCTAGGTTGTGCTTGCACATTTCTAGCTGGTCCAGGCTGCAGTGGTAGCATGTGTTCCCACAGCACTGCCCAAGACCTGGTGACTTTGTCCCTGGGAAAAGGTTGTCTGCAGCCAGGCATGGGCAGCCATCTGTCCTTTCTCTGAACTAGAGCAACCTAAACAACCAATATCACTGTGATATTCACCATCGTAGCAGTGTCTGCTACTTTAGTACCTTTTGGCTTGGTTTCCCAGCAATTTCTCTGTACTTTTTTTCTGTTTCTGATGAAGAGACAGTACACAGTGTAAAGTAAGAGCTAACTATGGCAGGGACCAGAGGTGCAGGTAGGATATTTAAGGAAGAAAAAGCATATGTATTAGCTGCAAAAACATATTCCTGTACACAGGGTAAGTTAAATGACCACAGCATGACAGAAGAGTGTACCTGGGCTCCCACAGTGCCTTGTAATGAAGCCTTGAAAAGCAGCACCATGAATGATGGTGTGGATCCATATAACACCCCTGGACAGCACAACATATCTTTTGTCACTGTAGCTTCTTGGTCCATAGAAGTTCTGTGCTGACAAAAGCACCTCCTTGGGCACCCAGTGAAGTGAAATCGCAGTGCTGGCAGCTGCTTCCCAGTGGAAATACTACTACTAAAACTTCTAGTGTAGACAAGGCATTGGTCCAAGCTACTACCTGAATCTTGTAAATACCAGTTGAAAGGAAATATTGTCAGCCTTTGGCAGTCTACAGAGTTATGGCAGTCAACAAGTATTGTCAGTGACAGGTCATTTCCCTAGTAGAGCTAGTCTTAAGAGACTGACAGAAAATTTTGGACACTATTTAAGAAACTGCTAGATAACTTGACCACTTTTTCTTGGGAGCTGTGTGTGTGGCAAGGTTTTCTAGTGGTTTAGCTGTTAAATGTGAGTTGTTTGCTCAAAGTGCTGGCAGGAAATATCTACACAAAGGAATGTCTTTTCAGTGCCTGATCCCATTAAACACTTGATTTGAGTAGTATGAAACTGAACAGATGTTCATGCTCACTAACTCCAACATACCACGACCAGGTAGGTCCACACAGAAAGATGCAGAATTAAGTGTAAGTAAGTATTACTTAACAAAAAGGCTTCCTACAACAAGGCTTTTCTCCCTATCAATACAAGATAAACTAACACACTTTAAGTAATCTTTAAAAGATTCAGATATTCTGAAAAAAAACCCCAAACAAAAAAAACAAAACAAGGAATTGTTGATGCTGTTCCTCTGTGTCCCTTAAAAAGCCCAAGCTACACCATGATTTACAAGATGGCAAGATGGTTATAACCTGTTAGTCCTGAATGTGAACGTTGGATTGGGTTACACCCACACTGTTTCAGCCGCAGAGAGGGAGGAGCCATGTTTTCATTTATGGAGTCTCATCACAAATCAATTATCAACATATAAGAATTTTCCATGAAAGTATCTCTGCAAAGGCTTCTCTATGAGAAGATAAATTCACATGCATTCTCATGATGCATAGGAACAAATTAGGTGGTGAGAAGAGAAAAAGCTGATTCTGAATAAGGTTCCTTTAAAAAAAAAAAAGACAGAAAAGCAGTATTTAAAAAGTTGTAGAACCCAAAGCCTAAAAAAAAATTTATTTTTTAATGGAGCCAGAAAGGTGTAATTTCATGGAGCATTTTTTAAATGCAGAAGAATCACCCTCTCCTTTGCAAATTACCAGCAATGGTATAATTTACTATCTTGGATTCATTACCGTCAAATCAGCACTCTGTCAATCTCTTTCTGCCCCCAAAATACCTCTCCTCTTACCACTGCCAGCATGAATTTGGAGTATGGCTGAGAATTCTTTCCATACAGAATAAGGCAGTGTGAAGGTTTCATTTTGTAGCTCAGTCAATTAAAATTACATACATACATTTGCAAGAGTGGTTTTTTTAATTACTATATTTAACCTTCTGTTTCTATAGCAAATATTTATGCAGTCCTTGTGAACAAGTGATTTACTAGTGCACAGAAGGAAAAATCTGAAATGCATTTTGCACTTGGGAGCATCACCTCCATATAGTCTCCCCTCTCAGCTCCCCTAGGCAGCCCATAATTCCCTACAGGATTTTGTGGCCAGGAATATGTGGGCATGTGCTGTGTTGAGCCATAAGTTGTAAGCCCAGCAAATGTAAAACATG